GAAAAGAAAAAGAAAAAAGAAAAGAACTATCCGAGTTCTGACACTTCCTTTACGTAACATACAAAATCTTGTTATGCAGATTGTATTGGATCTTCATTCAATATGAGGGGTGCAATGATGTGCCCCAATTGTCTTGTCGATGAAGGAGGGAAATGGATACGTTGTGGAGACGTTGAAGATGATGATGATGATGAAGATAACACTAATGATGATGAAAATAGCAATAATCTGGATGAATTCTATGGAGAAGATGTAATTACCTCATTTATTATTTAATCATAGCTAGTAGATTTTATCAATTTTATTATTATCGTACTAGTATAATCCTTAGTGTAAATATCAGATCTAGGCTAGTAAAAGTCTCTACATTCAATTTTAGGGGTTATTTTACCAAAGATTTTATCCTTTTTTATTCAGATCTATTAATTTTTTGATAAAATGAAATTATATAGATATTTAATTTTTCATTGTTATTAATTCTAATTAGAAAATTATCTATTTGAAATTTTCAATAGTCATTTTTGTCTGAAGAGGAGAACGATCATCGTGCAACTGCTGAAGCTGGAGGTGCTAACAATATGAGGTAATTAGTACTTATCAATTTTTTTCTAGTAACCTTTTAGTTATATATATATATATATATATATATGCTTGTTTTTTCGTTTTTCTTCTTTTATATTTACATGTGTTAAAATAGAATCTATTTGAAATGAATTGAATTAATGTTAATGAATAAAAGGCAATCTTTAATAAAATGTATAAAAGAAATGCACATATATTGATAATAAGCTAAACCCCTAAATATTCCATAAAATTTAGCTTCTTTTTTTTATATAGGTATTACATAAAATTTAGCTCGATTTATAAAGCATGACTATTTAAATATATTTTTCTTAATAGAAGTGTGTCTAATAAAGATCTCAGGCTAATTCGATAAAATTTACATTTTTCACTTAGTTGATAGATATATAGCATGTTAAGGGTTGCAAATTAAGAAAAGAAATATTTAATTAAATATTATTAAAATAAGGTTTCGAAATAATGTTTGTACATGAATACTTAATTAATGTGTTTATAATATAACTTTTGTGGTGTTGATTATTATTTTAAAAGGCAAGTGACTGACAGTAATGATTCACGAACAAGTGCACCTTCAACTACTCTCCAACTGAACAATGACAATGGCCGCAACATTACTATGAATGAAAGCTCCATTCTCCAACAAAACGAGTAAGTTTATTATTTCATAAAACCATTTTAGCCTATGCTTTTTAAAGAATTTTGATATGATATTTATATGTTTTGTATGAATTTCTTTTTCGAGAAAAGTTTTAAATTTTTCCTTTTAACTATTGTAAAATCATTTAATTTTGCCCTATGTCATATTTTTTGTGCATTCATACAATTAGTAGTAGTTAATGGGGTTTAAAGTGAAATGATTTCATAGTTATTCCATTTTGGGATTATGGGATTAGTTTCAAAAACTTGCCTTAAAAACATGTTTCTATTAAATATTTTTCTTTAATTAGTAGTAGAACATCTCACAATAACATTATAGTATTGTAAACCTTTATAATTATGTGCAATATGTCTAATACTATTTATATATTGTTTAAATTATAACTCACAACTCTCTTTACTAAACATTATTAATTTTGGAGAAGGAAGGAATATTATTTTGCTATTAATTTATCCATGAGTCATATATTAATTTGAGTACTTTGCGATTGAAAATAGATGGATTCAACAATCGTCTGTTCCTCCTCCGCCAATTGCTCCCGAGATGGTTTCTCAAAGGCAAATATCTTCCTCGGGTTCAAATGTTGAATCAGGTCCCCTGAATCTTGAATCGCTCAATTCAAATGAGCAGGCTTGTAACAATCTGTTACCATGTTTGGAGCTCACCCTGGCCACACATAATTCTTCAAGGAGGATGCATTGATGACTATCAAATATGACATTTGTGGGTGATAGTTCTATTTATTGTTTTGAATTGTTGGATTAAATTGCTTTTAAGCCTTGGAAATTTGTTGAATCCTTTATTTACTTATTCCTATGTTCAAACTATTATGTTTATTTCATATAGAATCCATGAAGTATTTGGTTGAATAATCTTATTTTGATCCCATATGATTTTCATTATACTAGTTTGTTTGTGTTGTGCTCCACACAAGTAGAGTGGTAGGCTTGCGTAGGGAAGCCTCATAGAGAGGAAGAGAAGTTCAGATTTTTATTTAATAAGATCATTTCACACTTGTTATTTAATATTTATCCTCAATTACGTAATTTTTATAAAAGTAGAATGACATAACATAACTAAGGGTGTGTTGGTATGAAGGAAAATATTTTCCGGAAAATGTTTTTCAATTTTCTCATGTTTGGTTGGGTTAAATGTTTTGAAAAATGTTTTTCAAATCAACTCATTTTTCTCAAATTTAAGGAAAATGACTTCCCTTCAAAACTTAGGGAAAGCATTTTCCAAACCTCTCTTCCAACTTCAAATTACAATTACCCAGCCCCCCACCCACCTCCTACCCAGCCTCCCACCCCCGCCCCCCAAAAAAAAAATTAAGTTTGTTTTTAAAAAATATTTTCAATTTCAAAATTTCATTTTTTCACCCTACCCTTGACCCCCCACCCACCTCCTACCCAGCCCCCCCACCCGCCCACCCCTACCAGGCCCCCACTCCCCCCCCCCCTCCCCCCCAAAAAAAATAATTTTAAGTTTGTTTTTAAAAAATATTTTCAGTTTCAAAATTTCATTTTTTCACACCTATCCTCGACCCCCCACCCACCCACCCCCTACCAGCCCCTCCCCCCCCCCAAAAAAAATAATTTTTAAGTTTGTTTTTCAAAAATATTTTCAATTTCAAAATTTAATTTTTTTCACCCTTACCCACCCCCGGCACCCCACCCACCCCCTACCAGCACCCCCCCTCCCTACCCCCAAAAAAAAAATTTAAGTTCGTTTTTAAAAAATACTTTCAACTTCAAAATTTTATTTTTTTCACCCCAACCCTCGACCCCCCCCTCCACCCACCCCACCCACCTCCTACCAGCCCCTACCCCCAAAAAAAATTTAAGTTTGTTTTTAAAAAATATTTTCAATTTCAAAAATATTTTTCATTCATAAGTCAAACACTAAAAATCTTTTTTGGAAAATATTTGCTACTCATCAACCAAACATGAGAAAATAAGTCAAAAATCAACTTGTTTTCCAGGAAAACATTTTTTAGCGCAATCAGTGTCGAACTGATAGGGGTGCGCATCGGTCGGTTCGGTTCGGTTTTAGGTGTTATTGGTTCGGTTTATCGGTTTTCGGTTTGTAAATACTTCAAACTGATAACCAAACCAATAACATATTTCTTATCGGTTTTTGGTTAATCGGTTTATGGTACTTAACGGTTCGGTTTTCGGTTTAACCAATAAGAAAATACTTATATATATTATATACACAATAAGAAAATTTTCAAATAAACCATATGATTTTTCCAGCATTTGGCATGAAAGTAATAATCATAAAAGTAACAATCATTTTTCTTGCAAGTTTAGACACTAGACACATTCAAAGGAAAAAGTGTGAAAGTAACAATTGTTTAACCATTAACAAAAAGTGTGAAAGTAACAATCGTTTAACCATTAACAATAAGACTAGTACATTTAGTATAGTCTTATTGGGTTATCGGTTTAACCATTAACAAAAATTATAAAACCGGAAACCGAACCAATAACCCAATAAAAAAATTTGCAAAACCGTTTAAAAACCGTTAGCCCAATAACCCAATATCAATAAACCAATAGTGTTTTTTTCAGTTCGGTTTATTGGTTAAATCGATTTTTGCACACCCCTAGTCGAACATAACTTTGAACAAGTTATTCTCCGGAATAAATATCGTCCCTCCAAAGGGACACCTAGCGCAAATTCTAAGAAATTGGAAGGCTTTTTCTCATTAAATGGAGGTCAGTAATACTTTCTCTATTTTATATTAAGTGAATTTTATTTTTTTTATTGTTTAAAATTTAAGATAAATATTTAAATTTTTTTCTATATTTGTCATTTTTCATAATGATGTTTTATATTTTTTGGGAGATAAATTACGCTATTATTAAGAATAATTTGGGAATAAACAGAAAATAAATAGTAATAAGTATAATTTATGTTCTTAAAATTTTTTCTTAATAAGTGTGTACTATCTCACGAGTCACGACTAGAATTTTTATCAGGTCTATATAATGTGGACACATGACTTTTAGTTCATTGGATGATTAACAGAAAGTTGACCTCAAGTCAACTACTTTTTTTTTTCTCAATTGATTGATTTATTTTAAGTTAGTTTAAAAATTGATACTTTATTCTTGAATAAATTGATTTATATGTGATTTATTTTAGACTATAAATTTTAAAAAATATTTTTTATGTCAAATTAAATTATATCATATAAATTAAAATAGAAAAGATAATTAATGAGCATTGTTCACAAGTCATAACCGAGAAAGACTTTCAACAGTAAAAAGCGCATCATGTAAATTTCCACGAAATCGCTAGTTACAATAAACAATAACAAAAATGATCCCTTATTTTTTATAATATGTTCAAAATAGTCCTTGAAGTATCAAGTGAACATTTTTTGTCCTATAAGTTTGTCAAAGTAAGTATTTTTGGTTTTTCGTCAATTATTTATCAAACTCTGATTCTTAAGTTTAATCGAAATGGAGAAACATCTAGAAATTTCAAGAAACTACACCAGATTTTAAAATAGATTTTAAAAAAAAAACAACATAAACAACCAAATCAAAAGTTCCAAATTTGAGTTCCCGCTAATTTTTTTGGGTTCTTATAATTTCAATTAAATTTACCAGTAAGAATATGATAAATATCTAACAATTATATGGGCCGAAACTACTCAATTGATACTTAAAAGACTATTTTAAACATACTACCAAAGATAAGGGACCATTATTGTCATTTTCGCATACCCCACCAACTATAAATAATAGGTATACAACTCAACTTTGATATAGCCATTCCAATTTTAAAGTCATGGGTATCAAATATGGTTTACTTTTCTCAGTATTAGTGCTACTTCTTCTAGCACTAAAACTAGAAGCAGGAGGAATTGTAATTTATTGGGGGCAAAATGGGAATGAAGGTAGCTTAGCAAGTACATGTGCATCAAATAACTATGCAATTGTGAATATTGCATTTCTTGTAGTTTTTGGGAATGGACAAACACCAGTGTTGAACTTAGCTGGTCATTGTAATCCTAGTGTTGGTGGATGCACTAGGTTAAGCAATGACATTAGAGCATGTCAAAGTAGAGGTATCAAAGTTATGCTTTCACTTGGTGGTGGTGTTGGAAGTTACTCCCTTTCTTCTGCTAATGATGCCAGGTAAGATTTGTATAATTAGTACCATAGAGTTAATTGAATCTTTTTTTTTTTTGTTTAACCCTATGGTATTAGCCTATTAGGTATAACTAGCTCAACTAAATTTAGAGTCACAGTCAGGATTTTATACTTATAGATTGATATTTTTAGTCCTTTTCAGTTACTAAATTCTAAATCAAATGAATTTTTAAAAATAAACCGACGAATTTGAACTAGAACCATTGGGTTCTGTTGAACTCACTTCCAAAACTCTAGCTCCGCCACTATATTCCATAGTTGTCGCATAGGGCCCATTAAGAGGGAAATGCTCTCTATAGGAATTTCTTCATTCAATGAATTGACATACAAGGAAAACCTGTTCAAAGAAAGACTCCCTTTTTATATTTTTTTTTATGACACCCTTTCTTTTTTTGTTCTATTCTAAAAAGAGTAATACTTTAATATATTTGAAGAAGAAAAATAACTTTGAACTTCTCATTTTATTTTGATGACACTCTTATAACTTTAGAAATGACCACATATTTAAAACAAGTTCTAAGAATACTTTTAGTATGTTTGAAAAGAAATTATTTTCCTATCCAATCAAATACCATCATATAAAATGAAGAGAATAACTTGTCCTATAAGCATATTGCATAGACACTAATAAATGTTCAAAAGTTATTCCCACAGATATTTTGGTTGAATCAGTGTGATTAGAATGTCTTCCACTATTTCAATTTTCCACCATACGTTTTTCTAGTTAGCTAGTTAGGTGGGGAATGAGTGGAAAAATCACAAATTTCTCAGTGATTCGCGGGGAAGAAAAAACCTTTGTTTATTTGGAGCTAATTAATTGTCAAATACCCTGCAGGAATGTAGCAAACTATTTATGGAACAATTATCTTGGAGGTCAATCAACTTCACGTCCACTAGGTGATGCAATTTTAGATGGAATTGATTTTGATATAGAAAGAGGAACAACACAACACTGGGATGAACTAGCAAGAGCCCTCTCAGGATTTAGCCAACAAAGGAAAGTATACTTAACTGCAGCTCCACAATGTCCATTCCCTGATTCATGGTTAAATGGTGCACTCTCTACTGGCCTATTCGACTACGTTTGGGTTCAATTCTACAACAATCCCCCCTGTCAATACTCTGGTGGTAGCGCGGAAAATCTTAAGAGTTATTGGAATAAATGGACCGCGATTCAAGCTGGAAAGATTTTTCTAGGATTGCCTGCGGCTCCAGGAGCTGCTGGGAGTGGTTTTATACCATCTGATGTGCTTGTTTCTCAGGTTTTACCAGCAATTAGTGGTTCACCTAAGTATGGTGGTGTCATGCTTTGGTCTAAATTTTATGATAATGGTTATAGCTCTGCTATAAAGCCTAGTGTCTAAGATGTATGTCCATATAGTTGGTTATGTTGTACTATTAATTAATGTGATGAATAATGTCATGATCTCATAACTCTAAGTATATTGAGTAATGAGGCTGGCGTTCAATGTTCTTGTTGTAGTTTGTGTTCAATTACAAAATTGAGTTGTTACTTGTGTATATGTACCTTGACCTCAAGCTTTTTAGGGTGAATAGGCAAGAAATTCACTTTGTAAAAATTGAGTAGTGGGAGTGACTTTTGGGGCGGACAAGATGAAGGAAACGAGATTGAGATGGTTCAGACATGTGAAGAGAATGTGGGGGGATGCACAAGAGATTGATTATAGCTGATTTTAGGAGATGTAGAGATAGGCCGAAGAAGAACTAGGACAAGTGATTAGGCATGACACATCACATCTTCAGCTTACTGAGGACTTAACCGTAGATAGAAAGATCAAGGATTAGGACAAAAAGGTTGTAGGTAGCCGATCTTGTCGTACTTTCAAATAGGAAAGGCAGGGTGGGTTCAATTTCCTCTTCTCATTTAGTAGTATTAGTAAGTAGTCGCGTAGTATTATATTCTTCAACTTTCACTACTACCTATTATTTCATTTGCCTGTGTATCTTGTTGTTTTGTTATCATCTTTTACCTTTCAATCTTGTCTTGATTATACTTCTTTTTGAGTCAATGGTCTAACCAGAAACAATCTCTATACCCCGCAAAGGTAGAAATAAGGTTTGTGTGTATCCTACCTTTCCAGACCCCACTTGTGGGATTATACCGACAATTATAGTAGATTCAGATACAAAGAACTAACATAGAATTCCGTATAACATTAACAACTCAATTTATTCACCTTCACGGCTCCTCAAATTATTATAGCTCTTATGGCTATGAAAACAAACTACTTTGGCAACATGCCAACACACTCAATAACAAGTTTACTAAACAACAAACTCGATTTCTGATCGAGTCACGACAAAAAATAAAGCTTAATACACAACACAAACTTACAAGAAAGACAGATCGAAACGAACTATTATAACTCTCTGGTGCATACAAGATTACCCCCGGTGATATGATCAATTCAATCATCTGTAGCTTCGGTAGTTAGGAGTATACATGCAACTCTCAGCATACTTCACCAAATCTGCAGGTCGAGGGAGACGTGTTGCCACACCTGGAATACAATTGACCAAATTGTTTAATGTTTAAGTTAAACAGGACGAGTATAAAGGCGATACAAGAAAAGGAAAGGAAATGCACTCACCAAGTTCATATGCTTTGGCTGCAACACTAGCAGCTATGTGAGCTGAGATCTTTCGGATATCAGCAAAAGGAGGGTATATCATTCCCTTGGCATAATGTTCCTCAGTTACTTGAGCAGCTAAAGCTTCCGCTGTTTCATAGAAAATCAACTAGTGTTAGAGGAAAGGCAAAAAATGATCCCCAACAGAAATTCATCCCTTTGTTGTACTTACAAGCTGCTAAAAGCATGTCATCGTGCACACGGATTGTACCAGACATGACCAAGCCAAAACCAAAACCAGGGAATATGTAACAGTTATTTGCCTGTATATCGCAAGGGGAGAACAAAATCAGGAGCTGTTCCATTCTGAATCGACTATAACACGGAAAGCATATGCATTCACAATACCTGGCCAGGAATGTTGAGTTTTCCGTCGTACTCAAAAGAAGGGAATGGACTTCCACTGGCAAAAACAACGCGACCCTTTTAAAAAAAGCAAAAGCAATAGTCAGTGTCATGAATGTTAGCTAAAATGACCACAAATATAACTAGAACTGTTTCTCATCGATACTTCGTACCTCACTCCAAGTATAAGCTTCTTCAGCAGTACATTCAGCTTGTGAGGTTGGGTTTGAGAGAGCCATAATAAGAGGTCTCTGTAGAATATTTTTGGTATGTTAGCTCAAGAAATAAAAAATTTACCGGGATAAGAAGAAATGAAGCAGGAGATGGATCACCTTATTCATGCAGGCCATGGCCTCAACTACTTCTTTTGTAAATGTTCTTCCAGTTCCAGATGTCCCAATTAAGACAGTTGGCTTAACGGCCTAGATCAAAGTTTGAAGCAGGGAGAGTTAAGAATTTATAAATCATAGAAACAGAGTTTTTGACATAGAAATCGACGGTGAGGATCTCAATGCACCTTAACAGCGTCTAGGAGATTGTTGACAGGTTCGTGTTCATGAGCCCAAGGTTTCTTGAAGGCTTGAAGTGTTTCCTTGCGACCACTAACAATAAGACCCTGTACATGATCACTCATTTAGATGGACTATGTACATTAAATAACCAAGTGCTCACGTCTATCACATATAAAATATAAGATGAAAACTGAAGAGAGACTAGACTGGCTTTTCTGAGATAGATCATAGATCGTATATCTTTTATACCTTTGAGTCCACAAGCCAGATCTTTTTTCGTGTCTCCTCCACGGGAATTTTTGTCTGCAGGCAACAATATGGAAATTTATCATGTGCTACTAATTGGAATTAGAACAAATCTTCATTCTACAGTTTGTATGAATAAATCAATCTGGTACCTTGTTTGAAATTTCAAGTGCTATGAGTTCTGCAATACCAGTCCCAGCCTGCAATAATAAGACGATTAACATGTGTGACTTTGAAATCCTTTTTAATAGTTCATGATGTATGCATTGCAACTTTGAAAGTTTAACAAGAAGAAACAGAAAACAATCACGATTCCACAGGTGACTTAATTTCCTTTGGGTAAAGCTGATAAGATGACAAAGAGTTGAAAGAGATTTGAAGATTCTAATGTAAACCATAACCAACATTAGTCCAAAAGGAATCTGAAGCATCGAAAAAGAGGGTGTAGCAGAAAGTTAAGGTTTCCCTTTTAAGTCAGTATGGAACCTGTTACCCATTCAAAACATCTTTATAAACCATTTAGTTTGTAATATCTTGTGCACCGTAAACAACCCAAGTTGGAGGTGGAAATTTATCAAAAAGATAGAAACCAACCTCTCCAGCACCAAGGAACAAGAATGTATGATCACATAATGCACCTCCAAGTAGCTTAAGGGATGCAATAAGCCCTGCAAGTACGACAGAAGCTGTCCCCTGCAATAGCGGAATCAACAATCAGAAATGAACAAATCAATCTCATGAAAACATCCAGAGAGACATATAACATACCTGTATATCATCGTTGAAGACCAAATGCGAGGTACGATATTTAGCCAACAGCTCAAAAGCATTGTGGTTCGCAAAATCTTCAAACTGAGAATGAAGTTACAAACATCAGGTTCAGGTGTCACATGGTAAAAACATGATGAAACATTCATAAGTTTCAAATTATTGACCTGTACGAGAATTTTTTCGCCATAGTTTTGCTTCACAGCAGACATGAATTCATGAAGGAAGTCATAATATTCCTGAAAGAAGGGGGAAAATGTAACAAAAGCAGCTTCAGTAAGAATTCAGACTTTTGTCTACTAAGACTAACACAGGTGATAAAATAGAATGGTGCTAAAGTACACCTGTCCAGTTGCTCTCCTTTGTCTGAGACCAATGTAGAACTCGTCGTTCAGTAACTTCTCATTGTTTGTCCCTACGTCAATGGTAATAGGCAAGCACTGCATATACAAGCAAATTGATGATCAAAAAAGTTTTCATAGATAAGAATATGGTGCAGAATCAAGGTTATGATAAATTCACGAATTTTGGTACCGCGGAAGGTCTAACTCCTCCAAGTGCAGTATACAGGGCCAATTTCCCCACGGGTATTCCCATTCCCTGTGACGTTAAAACGAATGCCATATGAGTAATACATAGTGAGAAGGAGGAACGAGACGTATATATCAATTGAGGGCATCATCACCTGGCAGCCAAGGTCACCAAGTCCCAAAATTCTTTCTCCATCAGTCACGACGATGACCTGGATTGATTTTTCAGGCCAGTTCTTCAATACCTCAAGGATCCTTCCTCTGAAAATAAATTATTCATACTTTAGTTGAATGTACTTTCATGTGAAAGTAGTAAAAACACCTTTAATCCGAAAAATTTCATACTTTTCATTCAAACTGATGTATAAACCCTGTGGACGCTTAAATATGCTTCCATATTTTTGACACGCCTCACCAACAGTTGGAGTGTAGACAATTGGAAGTAACTCTTCCACATTATCAATAAGAAGCTTGTAGAACAACCTTTCATTTCGTTCCTGCAAATTACAACCGCACAAATAAAGGGAAAAGTAAGTGAAAAGGACATATAACAATATTACTTCCTTGGTTTCAGATGAAAAATCAGAACCAAAACATGTGTTCGAAAATACCTCTAATTCCATCATGGCGACATATTTGTGCAGAGGGACGTCATATTGGCGTATAGACTGCATAAGTTTTTTCTCCTATTTGATATAAAACACAACATTAATAAAGTTATTGTAAATATCAATCACACATCACAAAAATTTGAGACTTGAATTAGTAACTAATTTTACCTGAAGTTCCTGTGAGGAAATGACAGGAGGCAAAAGGCCTCTCAAGTAATGAGCATCTCTTTCTCTCTCAGTGAAGGCAAGCCCTTTGTTGTAACGCGGATCCCTCAACAAGTTGTACCCACTGTTATTACAAAGTCAAACAGGTAAGCATATATTCAAGTTTACAACGGCATTTGTATATAACAATACAATAGGTAACAACCATCCAAACAAGTTAATGATCAATAACACACCGTTCACATACCAATTCAGAAAGTAACCTTCCTGAAAATTGTAAGTCTTATTAATTCACGAACATCTCATTTAATCAGGAGTTCATTATGAATAAATATCTAATAATATTTGAATGTGAACCTAATTATTATTGTATATTAACTTGAAGTTGTTATACAAACTCATAAACTTTAAATCCTGGATCCGCACTAACATTAGAATCAAACATTTCAAGTATGACAAGTTGCAAATTGCAATCCAGCATATAGCATCTGAAAAACGGAAGTATAAAATACGAGTAGTAAATTAATAATCAATGAGTCAAATTAAGCCAGTGGCCGAACAATTCAGAGTTATTTCAAACAAAATGAAGCTGAAGCTTGAACTGATTGGGTATGTCCAAAAAACAAAATATCTGTAAACCCATATTTTAAT